CCAGCTCCCTGAGCCTATTTTATGAGGAGTGCTCCAGCCCTCTGATCATCTTGATGGCCTTCCTCTGAACCCACTCCAACAGCTTCACATCCTTCTTTTGCTGAGGGTCCTAGGCCTGGACACAAGCAATGGGAATTTGGATTATCAATTGGAATATTTCTTTTTGCTAGGTTATTTTCACATTTTAACATTTTAAAAGAAATGTCAGCAAGTTCTTCAAGTTCCTATTACAACATCAATCATAAGTATTAGACACAATCCTAAAAGCTTTGGCTTTAATCACAACATACGAAATGGAAATGGCAGATTAGCACTTAGAAGGTAGCTGAAATTTGAACAGTGGAGGCTAATATCACCCAACATAGAATAAGGCTCACAAAATAGGTAGCTTGTCTTTTATCTTCAAGCTGTTGGAGTTGGAATGCTGGGTTAGGTGGGCCTTGTCTTCTAAGCCAACACAGGAAATCTTAAACAGCGGGCTGAAATAGTTCTCGATTCTTATTCTGCTGGCACTCACGAGAGTAATATCAAGTCATGAGGCTTTTTAGAGGCCAGAAGGCAAATGCTGCCAGAAAAAGAAACATCCAGACCTTGTAAAAAAAAAAAATGTAAAATCTCAACATTTGTGGTGAACCTTCTGTGATACTCTCATTTGAATACCGCTCTAAAAACTTCAGAGGATATACCTTGCAGAGATTCACCTGAGTAAAATATGCATTATCTACACTTTCTATATTTCCACACACAGACACAAAAAAGGTATGAAACATTAAGATATGGTTGGTGTGTGTTGGGTCAGTGTTCTACTTTCAGACTAACACATGTCATGCTGTCTTACAGAAGTCTCACTTATTGCTTAGTTTATTACCTTCCATATTTAGGAATTTCAATATCGTACCTCTATTTTTTACTGTTTTATAGAGAATATCGTTTGACTGGAAATGCTGTTAGTACCACAGATGAGATGGCCCAGAGCCTTCTGCAGAGTTTCTTTGTTTGAAAGCATTCTTCTCTCCTCCTGTGTGATAGACCTTACAGCAGGTTAGACAAGAGTCTCACCCTGGAGATATAAACAAAAGCCAGCTATCGAGGTAACTTTGGATATCTTATCCTCAGCCATCTCTGTCCCACATTCTGGCCCCACATTTCAGAGCAGAAAATGTACACAAGCCAGTCTGACTGCCACTTGAAAATGAGGAAGAAATACCCTGGGAAAGGGAGTGCTCTGGCTCTTATTTTCAGAGACTTCTCAGTGTCTAGATGCCACAACATGGTAGTATAGGGTATTTTTGGAATATGACAAAAATGCTGGATGCAGTAGATCTAACTTTTCATGTTTAATCTAGTTCAAACAAATTGTGGTGCTCTTAAATCATATACTGGACCAAGGTAGCTTTGTTGTTGATGGAGGGGGCCATCTTCCCCTTGTGCACCTTGGAGAGAGTCCACTTTACACAGAAGAAACAACAGATGCCTTCAGAACACAAAATTGTAAAAATAGAAATTTTATTTGTAAAACTTTTGGGGAAAAAAACATTTAAAATACCATATTTCTTCAGAGATAAAGGCATTTTACAAGGACTATTCCTAGAATTCCATAGTACAACCCTGCTGTACATGGTCTTTAGTTCAACGTTGTTTGCAAAGATATCAGAAAGCTTTATTAACAATAAGATTGCTGTTCAAAGTAGACCCCTCAAAAAGAATGAAAAAGTATTAAAATAAGCAAAAGAACTCATTGGTATTTTCAGCACAGCTCACCAGAGAACTTATATTTATAGACAGAATGCATTGTTAAATGTTATTTTCCCATTCAAGGAAAAATAACAGCAAAAATCAGCTGTATTTAAAACATGCAAGAAATAATTTTTAATAAATATTAATCACACCGAGGTGGTCATGCAACCAGCACAGACCATTGGCATCACACCAACACTGCCTCTAAGCCCAGGGCAGAGATCATTGCTGGCTGTGATTTCCACTGGGACAATATTAGAACCTGAACTAAAGCAGCCTACATGTGTTGAGGCCAGCACCTAGACAGCTCCACCTTTCTGCTTACCCAGGTCCTTGGCAAGATTCATCCAGGAGCTGTAGGAAAGGATACACAAAACCTGACTGCACACAGAGGCTCTTTTCAGTGCTAATGTCCTGTAACATGCTACAATTCTGGACACTTCCCTACTCTAACTCTTGCTAACTAACCATAATGCAATCAGCACAAACAAAGGGCGTGAACTGCTCAGAGGACTGGAGCCAGGGTCTCAGAACATCACAAGGTATTCAGTGCTTCAGTACTTCAGTGCTGAGCATTGGCATACAGACAAAATACACAGACGCAGGGAGAACTGCTTTGAGATTAAATAAATAACTCCTACTGAACATGTCTACAGAAATATACTGCCTTTTATTATTTGTTCAGCACTTTCCAAGGAGAAAAATACACCACAGGAGAAGCAGACAGTAACCTCATTGGGACTGCAGCTGAGAGTGGTGAAAACAAATGAAGGCTGTTTCTTTCCATTTCCCTGGAACACAGGGTATTGTGCAGAGCCACTGGATCCACTGGGGTGCTTTCAGCAGACTCTGCTTTGGGATTATCATGGGCAAGGCAAAACAGTATTATATGACACACTCTTGCCCAGCTTTCTTTGACAGGCATAAATTAAAATGACAAATTACTTCAGTCCAGATGAAGCTTTTTATCCCTTCTCCCATCTTCTAGTAACAAGTCAAGCTACTCAATTACTGATTTCCTATTAAATGACATTTCTATCTCTCATGCTATCCATTTCTCACATGAAGGCATATGTTTCTTCATAGCCCAAGAGTTAAGGAACCAAGTCTTGAATTCAGAAGCCTTCAGATAATTTTCCTGTTCCACCAGAGACATCTGTGACAAGTCCATACTGCCCAGATTTATCTCACTTTCCTCCAGGCTCTAAATCAAGCTGTATATGCTAAAACATGAACTGTCCTGGGCCCATTTTACAGTCACTGGAGAGAAAAAGGCATCTTCATATGGTGATAAAAATCTCATGTTAGATGAATCACCTGGGCTCAGATTTGTGGTCAGGTGTCCTGCTATTGGTACAAAGATCAGTTTGATCTTGATTGTACAAAGTCAGTTTGCTGTGTCATCTAAACACAAAAGAATATTGAACAGTTCTAATTTTGTCTCTTTATGTGCAATCCAATGGCTAGGAGTCATTGCAATGCTTAAAAAATAGGGGTAGTATAAACAGGAGTTTCTCAGTACCTTAGTCTTCCCCACTTCCTATGAGGAAAATACGAAGTTCCTTATCCAAGAGTAATGTTGAAAGGATAATTCATTAGAAAATAATTCATGAGCTCAGCAAAAGACATTGGGAAGGAGAAGGTTGGGTTATCTTAGTTTAACATAAATGATTAACAAAGATGAAAGTATTTTAAGACAAATATATTAATTTTCCCCTGTATCCAAAATATGTAAGTCAAAATGATGGCTTACATTACAAGTGCTTGTAGACAAAATTTCCCAGGAGTCCTGTAGGTTCAACCAGGTATTTACCTGATCTTTTCTTCTTCCAAATATAAACCAATATTAGAAGAAAAATTAGCACTAGTGCAACTCCAAATAAAACTCCAAGGACAATCACTGCCACTTTCCAGGAAGAACTTCTTTCAGTTGATGGAAGAAGTTGTCCAGTAGACAGAGCTGGAATTTAAAACACATTTTAGAGATATTAGTTAGAAATTATTAAAAAGGAGGAGTAGGAAAGCTTGGAGCCCAAAGTGACATCTGCATTTTATTTCTGGACAGCTCTGAAACCTCTGAATAATGTAAAAATGTTTTTGTTTGAAGTAGAGCTTTTTTAAGTGAGAAATCTTATGGATCCATCTCCTTCTGAAGGTTCTTGAGATCTCTTGGTGACACCTGTCATCAACAGATTTGAGGTTTTGTTTGGTGGAAAATGTCTGGATGGCTCTGGGAGAAGACAACTCCAGTTTGCACCTCAGAAAAAGTTACTCCAAGGTGTGAAAAACTGGTGTAAAAGGTAAAATGTACATAATTTAACCCTCAGTCCTTACACTTGCACAGGCAACTTTATAAAATTATTTGAGACCTAAACTGCTAGTCTGTCGATTGCTCCAGATGAAGACAGTGAGAGGGCTGTAAGGTGTGTAAACATATCTCATCTCTGTAATAAAGATGCACTTGGTGGAAGGGCACATAGACTAAAGGATAGTGCTAGCCAGCCTTTTATAAAATACATTAACTAGGTCTGAGAGTGCACCTGTGTTGCATGAAACCACCTCAGCTCACAGCAGCTCAATGCAAAAAGGGCTTTACCAGTAGAGTGAGCACAACAAATACCATATTTTGGATGAATATCCCTTTGCACAATTTCTGCTTTCCCCCTCTGCCTCTCAGCAGCTCTGCAATACTTCGTGTTACTAAATCCACACTGCATCTAACCAGGAAAGCAGGTGTCAAAGGTTTTTGAGAGTTGTCCATTAGACAAGAGGAACCCTTCCAGCACATCTGTACCAAGGGAAGTGTTATAGGTGCCACTACAGAAGAAATAGGGATTCTCCTTCCCTTCTTCGCAAATGGCACATCTCTTTCAGGATCTGTGTGGAGCATGTAAAAATGGCTACACACTGCCTAACCCTCCTTCTGTGTAAAGATAATCCATTCTTATGGAAATGGCTAAGCTATTTAAAGTAGATCTGTAATCTACATGATAGTTGGAATATGCTTTCTCTTTAAATAGATATGCAAATCTCTTAAAAAGAAGTTAATTTATCTGCTTTTTTACATAGAAGAATATCTGATCCCCTAATCCCCAAACCACTACAGAAAAGATGTTTTTAGCATCACTTACATTGTACTGTTACTTCAGTTTGATCACCAAACTTGCTCTTTAATATTTGGCTTAGGTATTCCTGCACAATATCCACATCAACAGGCTCTTGTTTTTGCAGTATAGAAATAAAATCAACAATCACACTCCCGGGTCTGAATCCAAGCACCATAATATCAAAATGATCATCTTTCAATTTGATGCGCATTTCTGAAACAATCTGTAGAAACAGAAATTTATGTTTGTCTCATTGTGTCAGTCAACTGAGATAAAGCAGGAATTATTGCATCAGGATATTTACTTTCTGAATTTCTCCTCCTTTCAGTGTTGTCTCATTGGAATAACAAACAGAATAATGACAGTCATTTTTTGTCAAGACCAGTAAAATACGTATGGAAGGATTACTGTGGAGCAGAATGCAGTCTGCATTGAAAATATGCCATCAGACTTTGACTTTCAAAGCAGTAATCTGTTTAGTTAATCAGTATTGCATTGGAATTAGTTGTCCTTCTCCATAAGCTACAAACCCAACTGCAAAGAAAAAAAAAAGTACTTAAAACTATGCATAAGGTTTCTAAAATTATTGTTAGTTGCCCTTGTTGTATTTTTTTTTAAACAGCTCAACCTTGAGCATGATTGTCATGCACATGGTATCAGGGCAGAACTTGCTGTTAGAAATTTTGCCCTATTGTAAATTACTACCCAACTAGAATAGTCTACCTCTATTCTTCTCCTTGGAATAACCCCCATCTCAGACTACACATCCCTACAAACTACACTAAGATTATGTTTTTCTTTTGCCCACTGTGAAGAAAGACTTAGAAAGGAAACCTGGACTATGCAGATGAGTGTTAAAAAAAATCAGAACTATAATTATAGTGTAGCATCATCGTGGAATTTAAAATAAGTAATTCAATATTCTAATTGTATTTATAAAAAAAAACAGGCAACGTTGAAACTGACAACATGTTCAGTCACAATAGTACATTTTGTTTGGTTTTATCAAATTTTAAAGAAAAGTGTAGAAATAATAAGAAAAGTGCAATATGCCAGGATAAGTGAAAGTTTATTAAAAGGCAACAAAGAGATTTTTCTTCCATTCAGTCAGGTTAGCAGAAGCCTGTTAAACTGACTGAAGTCAATTCTCTACCCATGAGTTCGAGAAACCAAAATTAATAAGACAATCACTTCTGAGTTGGTGTTGTGAGAACAAAGTAATTACTGCTTATGAAATCCATAGGGATTTTTAGGTAAAAAGTAAAAATCACACTAAAAATATTTTTCTCTGTTGGTTACACAAAAGCAGACTATTCCAGTCTTACAACAGTGGTACCTTTCTAGTGGATTCACATGTATCAGGATTCCTGGGTGCTGTGTAAATTGACTAGTCCTTTTCTTTAACATTCCCTTAAAGATGGCTAAGTCTGCTGCTTCTACATATCAGCTTTACTAGAGTCATCACCATCTTCAGTTTCTCCTTGATACAGTCTCCTCATTCCCTCCTCCAATCCACCAGCCACTACTCTGAAGAAAATTCACGATGATCTGGGCTAACAGTACCCACTGGTAAAGGTCCCATATTTCCCTGTGCGTTTAACTACTTTTTTCCCCCCTTCTCCACAGGCACATTTAGCAAAGTAGAGGAAAATTAAGGAAATAGAAAGTTGCTTGTGTTGTAAAAAAGAATTTTAAATAATCTCTCACTAAATACTGCACATTTGAAGACTAGGTAGGCAATGTACCCCTCCTCTCTAGGTGGCATGATTTGTCTCCTTTGGCCAATACAGTTGTTGTTGAGCAAGTGATTCATGTGCTAGTTTATCGAGGAGGAATTATCTTTTTCTCCTATTGCAAATCTTGATTTAACAAAGAATGTAAGTGATCAGCATTGCTAATTTCAAAAAATTTTCTCAGCTTACTTGTGGTGACAAACAAGATTACAGCAACTTACTTCTGTTTTGATACTTTCAGACATCGCTTTGTAGCCTCCACTATCAATGTCATAAAGGGAATTGTTAAATGTCTGGTTTTTTAACAAAGCTCTGCAGGCAAAGGATTGGTAGCCTGAAAAAGAAAGAAAAAGAAAACAGTGGGTGAGCCTTGGGACACCACTTTACAGTTGCTTTATGGACTTTGTTTTCTTATGTTATCAGTATGTAACACTAATTGATAGAAACAGGATCTAATCAAATAGTAAGAAAGAAGTCTATCACACAAGTGTTTACTGGCTTCTGAACCTTCAAAGTTGTCTCCTCTTCAAATTTGCCTGCCATCACAATCCTCACATTGTTAATCATTCCTGTATTATTCAGGGCATATCCCACTCCCTCATTCAACAGTCATTTTCCAATTGATCTCAGCAGAAGTAAGATCAGCATATTAGAGTCTGCAAAACACTAAGTATGCTTCAATCCTCATGAGTAGGTGGATAAGCTCTAAGCTAAAAGAAGTACACTTTACACAGAAAAGTCCTGTCTGAAAATAGAGATTCAGGCTGACATTAAGTCAGTTTCTTTACCAAAGAAATGTGAACTTCAGATGCTATGTGAATTGGCATAAGGAAGCAGATGACAAAACACTCATGAAAGATACTATATTGTGAAATGATACTCTAGAGTCACGAACAAATAAAGAATAAAATTATATAAAACCTACTTGAGCATATGATATATTTTAAGTCTGGACAACCATGATTCTGTGATAGGCAAAAATCAGTTCTGTTGAAACAGGAAACAGTATCTGCAAAATAAATAACAAAATCAAGAGAATTGCCTTTGTGCACGGATGATTACTGCTGAGAATGTGGAACTGCAGATAATGACAATTGAGTGTATCAAAAAAGAGGCAAGTGGTAGGTATGTAGGGGAAGTGCATAAAAGGGAACTCCACAGTTAACTTCTAGAATAATAGTCCTAGAAGGGTTTTGAAAGTAGTCATACAATCTCCTAGAGAGTGGAAAAGACAGTTGCAAAAAAGAGAGTTCTATAGAGCAGGCAAGAAATGATGGAAGAAAGTAAGAATTGCATAAAGAGAAATTAGATATTTCAAAGGATATTAAAAGTAATAATGAGAATTTTCTCGGGGACTGGGAAAACATGATAAAGTGCAATATAATTTTATCAAAAGTACATTGGGCTAACATAACCTAATCCTTTGACAACTTGATTAAGATCTCTTCCAATCTTTTCCAATAAAGTGCTAAATAATATTTTTAGAGGAAAAAAAATGTGTATAAAGGAATAGGCTAATGGGAAGATGGAAACAAGTAGCTTCAAAAGATGAAACCTTGCATTGAAGGGGTATAACTAGTGATGTTTCTTGAGAACCACTGAGAATTTGATTGGCATTTCCATTATAAATCCTGCTGGAAAATACAGGAGTTTTCTCACAAAATTTTCTAATGTCATAAAGTTAGCAAGTGTCATTAGCAGACGGGAGTACTGAGGTACTGTACAGAAAGAATTTGATGAAGCTAAGACCAAAGTAAGAGCAGTAGGATGGCATTTCCTGAAAGCTGGAAAATATTCGCTGAAGGTTGGGCATTTGAGGATTAATAACAGAAAAATCTTCTCTAACCCGGGGTTACAGACACTGAAAAGTGGCTCATTGCCTAAGTTGATCAAAGCTGTTATGTAGCTATGAAAAAAGCATGTGTATCTAATGCAATGCTCAATACATTTCCAGCAGAGATGAGAATATTAATGATATTGTAAGCACAGTGGTACAACCTTGCCTGGATTATTGTGTGTAATCCTAGTTGTCCACTTTCAAGCTTCTATTTTGAAGAAATTAAGAGTGATCGAGACTTTCAAGGGAAAGAAGAATTATCTGGTTAATCAGAAATTTTACAGAATAAGCAATTACTCTTGCAAACTCCTGTTTAATCCACGCAGTCCCATCTAAAGAGATGAGTCAGATAAATAAAGAAAACTTACAAGATTAGTAGTATTTGAAATCAATTTCAAATCACATTGCAAAAAGACATTCTAAGAGTATATCCACTAAAAACAAATGACAGCATGATCAAGGAAATACCTGTTCGGACACTCACTGAAGTCCTGCTATTCTCAGCACAAGATAATACTTCCACAGATATTGTGTATACGTGACCAGGAAGCAGATATTTAAATATTATTGTTGCCTCATTTGTAGTGGTTTTATTTATTTCTTGGATTCCATCCATGAGGAAGACTGTGTAGAGACTGTCTCTCTTGCCATCCTCTGAGTTCCAGCTAAGTTGTATTGCCTCCCCAGTCACATTCTCAACTTTAATGAACACTGGCACTGCAAAGTAAAAACGATTCATGCAGTTGAGGGGGATTCTGTTCATTTATGCAAGTCTAAACATTTAGTATTTAACCAAATAGCGTGAAATAAACCAACAGTCATTTTGTCAGACTGCCCCTCTGCTGCCATCTGTCACATAGCAGATGTGAGATGGAAATGGAACAGAATGTTGGCAGGAAAATTCAACCTCCACTGCCATATCACCAACATCCACCTCTGATGTTGTGGGCCAACATAGTAAAATGGAGGTGTTACTTTTGGAGCAGTCCAAAGAAATGTACATTATTTGGTGACTCAAAAACATAAATGGGTATAATTTCGCTTGTTTCTAGTCTCTCCCTTCACAGGCAAGGCAGCTGCTCTGATCAATGAGTGTACTGAGTTGGGCTGCTATCTGACTGATATTGACATTTGATATCGTCAGGAGGATTGGTTACTAAAAATTTGGCAGGACACCTGAAGTTCAGAGCAGTAAGCAGGCACTTAATAAATGTGATTCACAGCAACATTACAAAAATGGTCTATCATAGTGGTTCATCCTTGGAGGTAGGCATTTTTGTCCATGACGAACATCATGGTGTTCAGGATGGCTTTACTAAGATGTAGAAATTTCCTTGACTGATATTTCTATGTCAGCTTCCAATGGTTCTCTCAGGCTATTCTTTAAGAAGATGTGTCTTGAAATTTTACTTCATAGCCAATATGATTGATGAACAAAACTATTGTAACTAATTTCAGTAACTAATCTCAGAAAAAAAAAAACAATTCTAGTGTTCAATATTAAATGTTTACTCACTGCAAGATCCTGGTGTGAATGTGGTAGCAAAAACAGAAGTAGTTGTGGTTCCTGTAGATCCACCCATAGCACTTTCTGGAGGCACTGTAGTTATCTGCTCTGTAAAATAGAAATTTGGAGGCTGTATGCAAATTTTTAAAGCTGACAGACAAAAAACAGTTTAAAGACATAAAACAGTTACGTGAAGGTGGATTCTGCTTTAGTTGGCAAACTCTCCCTGGAACTTGGGGACTGTTATCTGTGAATCCTTCATTGCATTGACAGGAATAAGTTGCTCCTTCAGCAGTGCAGGTAGCATTTTGTGAGCAGTCATTTAATCCTGGCTGACAACTATTCCTTGCTGCAGTGTGTGGTTAAACAAAATGGAAAAAGAAGAATATTTTAAATGAGCACTGAAAAAAAGAAATGAACAGAATACTGTTTGCAATTGCTTTGTGCCACTTAAATCCCATTTCACTGAATTCTGCCATCAGTGAAAGGTACACTACTAAGTTGATGAATTCATACCTTCTATAACAGTCTTTTTAAGATCAGCTTTCAGTACTGTACTCATGTTAAGGGCCTCTATAAAAGCATCTGAAATCTCTGTCTTTGTTAAATTTTCTCCTTCATCCAACACAATGCTGAAGAGTGCAATCACACTGCCATTCCTGAGGCTATTAATTACAATACGCATTTTTTCTTCCTCTATTAATTTCAGGATCGTTGGTGGCAGATGTTTTTTAATCTGAAAGTAAAAAGTTTAAGTTATTATCTTTTTTCTCCTTTAACACCAAGAATTGTTATTGCAATAAGCTGCTCTAATTCATTTTGAGGCATGTATTATAGAAGGGGAGTACATATATCAGCTAGTTAGAATTACTTTTAATTATGGCTTCAGAGGACCACAACATAAATGAGAATTAAGGCCTAAATAAGTGTTGCTTTGTTTATAACCATCATATTCTTTTTATAACCACACTAAAGATTATTCATACCTGGATCCTCATGCTTACTGACATTAAAAAGAGTGCAAGAGAAAATGAATCTTGGGTTAGAATTCCTAAGCAAAATACCTCCTCAGTGAACTTAGCTTCAAATTGCTTAAATTCTGTACTTGATTTGTTCAGGTATTCAGGTACGAAGTCTTCATTGGTAATCCTAGTCATTCCATTGAAGACTTTAGCAGCTGTGGAGATATAAAAGACAGAATAACCAGCAAAAGCAAAGTTGCTCTTTAAAAATAGCTCTTCAGCTAAAATCCTCTAAGGGCAAGAGTAAACCAGAGGTAAATGTAGACAAGTGAACTCCCTGCACCCCAGATGGCCATAGCATAACGCATAAGTACTTTGTGCCACTCACTGACCAGTGTATCCCTCACCTTTTATTTGAATGTGTCATTGAGAGAAGAGGACAAGGTGTTACACGAGAAAGGATATCACTGGGCTATGTGCCTCACATCAAGGCAACTTGAACACCATGAACAGACTTGCCCTTAACCTCCACTGCATTGACTGCTCCTTCCAATACGTTGCTCCATGTACCAGACACAGTTACTCCTAAAATCACAAATCATGCTATGCAATGGGAAGTCAGAGGAAGACTCCAGGTGCTTCAGTAGTTCAGATAACTACACTGGTAGATTTTACTGCCATCGTTTGTAAGCATAGGACAGCTGCTTGCTGGAGAAGAAGCTGGGATTTGCAAAGGGAATAGTAGGAGCTGCAAGACTCCAGGATTTCCTTAGTTTACAGGAAGATTATGGCTTTAAATCTGCTGTCTGCCATGTAACTGGGAACTCAAAAGAGAACACAAGTTGCATGTGAATAGAAGGGCAGGTTTGGGAACTGAGGAGTGTGGAGTTGTGAGAGATGGGCATGTTGAACATTGGTTGTAGTTCAGCAAAATCTTGAATTTGTCAGATTGGTAAGGGGAGGCTTTGGACCTTAGTTGCATGAAAAATGTGAAGGTTAGCTTTTAGTGTCTGGAGTTTTGGCCTCAGTTTTCTTGTACATTTCAATTTATAGTTTATTCATGTCCAGGACAGTGCCCAATGAAATGGCCTTCACTGTCAGGCCACGTGTATGTTAGTGTGCTAATGAAAAAATGGAAAGATTTCAGAAGAAATACCTGTCCGAACAGTCATCGACGTGCTGACGTTCTTAGAGCAAGTTAAAACATTCACAGATATTTGATATTCATGATCAGAGACCAGACCTTCAAATGCAGTACTAGTTTCATTTAAGTTTCTATTCTCCATTTCTATAGATCCGTCCCAGAGATGCACAAGATAAGGACTGTCTCTTCTGCCACCTTGAGGTTTCCAGCTGAACTGTATTGTTGTACTGCTCACATTCTCCAGCTGTATGGAGAGAGTAACCGGAGCTAAAAAAAAAAAAGCAAATCCCTGTAAGACATGTTGTTGATGTAGGTGTGCTGAAAAAAAAAACACTAATGAAAAACTCCTTGCGTTAAAAAAAAAAAGTCTCTGCAATGTTTTTGTAAACATGTGAAATTCCACGTACCACCAACACGCACAGGGCTATTGCCTATTGAATCCTATGACAGTAATAGAACAACAAATAAGGGTAGCATGAAACTCTTTGTTTTAAAACAGGAAGCT